TAATCTATATAAGTTTGTAATAAAATCGCAGTAAATAATTATAATTTAGATTTATTGATTTTTATTTTAAATTTTTAATTTTATTTATAATAATAATCCATTCAACTGCTTTGCTTACAATTTTATATGTCAATTTATTTTAATTATAATTTTTTTAATTATTTTTAAAATATTTTAAAATATATTATTAAAAAATTAATACTTTTATAATAAATTTTATGATATTTTTTAAGTAAAATTAAAAAAGAATATATAATTAACTAGTAATTTTTTAAAGATAAATAAATAATAAATTATTATAAAAAAATTAAAATTTTAAATTCATATATCTTACTATCTATCAATTTCAAAAATATAAAAATACTACTATTTAAATACATCTTAATGTAATAAATTCAATAAACTAAATTTTAATTTTATAATTATTATATATTAAATTTTGAATTTTTAATTAAAAAATTTAAGTTAATCTGTTAAATCATTTAACCTAATAGGTTAAATTTAGAATTTTAGTTATATTATAATAAAATTATATAAAATAGAAATTAAGTTTTTTTTAATAAAAATATTTATATTTGATTATTTAAAATGATTAGTACTTTATATAAATTTTTAGACTATCATTTTTAGATTAAATATAAATAAATAATTTTATTAGTTTAATGCAATTACTAAAAAATGCAAATAATTGAAAATAAATATGACTATTATATTTTAGTAAATTAAATTAATCAATTATTTTTATAAGAAATATAACATATAATTATAATTATTTAATATAAAAACTAATCATATTTTCTTTTAAATCAGCTGATTTTGATATATTCTTAGCTTTAAAATGTTTAATTTATTATATTTTTATAATATTTTAATTATTTTTTATAATAATTAATGTTTATAATTTTAAAATGATCAATTAATTATATTTTTGTAATAATTTTTAAAATATTTAATTAATATCTTTGATTTTGCAATTTTTATAATAAAATTTTAATAAAATTTTATCTTTTATTATTTAAATAGCTTAATTTTATTTAATAACTTTATTTTTATTTTAAAATGATTAATTAATTGCATTTTTTTATAATAATACTTGGATTATTTTTTTTTTAAAAAAATTATTATGATTAAAATTTCTAATAAAAATAAAAATTTTTACTATTTTTTTGTTTAAATTATATTTAATTTTAAAATTAAATTTTTTATATAATAATTCTAATAATTAAAATTTATCCAAATTATATTAATAGATTTTAATATTATTAATATAATAAAAAAATTAATTAATTTTATATAATATATGGAAAATCCACTTTTTAGTCAAAAATTTTTTTATTGGTTCACTCTGCTAATCATGGTTATATGAACAAAACTAGTTTAATGACTTAAAATTGCTCAAAATTTTAAAATTTGTAGATTTTCTCCTTTTCTATTGACCACTTCCCATATTATAAATCTATATTTAATAATAAATTTCTTATAATATAATCTAATTTAAAATAGATTTTTAGTTTTTTAGGATTATTATATAAAGTCATTTTAATTAAAATGTTTCAAAAACTTTTTGATATTTAATCAAAAAAATACTATATTGGTATTTATATATATTAATTTTAATTTTTTTTTGTAATAATACTAAATACTTTTTAATTTTTTTTGTTTTTTTTTTTTTTTTAACAAAAAAATTTATAACATATAATATAAAATATTATTAGCATAAAATTAAATAACTTCATTAACGTTAATAAGGGATAAAATGTAGTATAAAAAAATACATTGATGAACAATTTCTATAAGAATCCGCTAAATTTTGAACCAATAATATATTACTCTACCAATATTTAAGAAAAGGATCGTCAAAAATTTTCACGTGAAAATGATCGAATAATGATTCACTTCATTTAAATAATGTCATCATTCGTAATTAATATAATATTAGTAATATTAATATATTAAATGATACTAATTGCATAATTATCAAATTTAACTAATTTAAAGAAACAGAGAAAAAAATAACTGATGTTTGACTCTAACGATAAATATAAAATTGAAAAAATATCTTTTTGAAAAAAGAATAATTAAATCAGAATAATTAGATACATTTTCGCAAAAAAAAGAGGAATTATATAATTTAACTTACCACTATGTCAAAAATCATGGTACCGCCGCTTCCTATTAACCAAGATAAATTTATCAACAAAAATTCTGGATCCGTTGAATGTAATACGACAGACTTTTTTTAATGAAAAATTATGATTAGTTTGGTTATAAAGTTATAAAAAAAAAAAAATATGAAAAAAATGAATTATATGTCCATACCAAACAATATGTAAGATTTCCTAATAAACTAAAACAAAACATGGCCAATGATAAGCCTTCAGTGGATTTACTCTTATAATTTTGGAGAATTTGTGGAATTCGAGAACCGACTAATTTAATGAAAATAATGTTGATCAGTAAATTAGTAATATGATGATATATAATAATATCTAGTTTTACTTACGATAAAGAAATGCGCTAATCCATCCAAACATCTGTGGTAACAATTCCATTTGTTCTTTAAGGATCCATAAAGAATGATCTTTTTTAACTTCTTGTCTATTGGAAAAGGCGACTACTCCAGTTAATACACATAATAATAAAATGGGAATTACTATAATAAATTGCAATTGAGTAGAATTTTTATTATTTTTATTTTTATTTTTATTTGGTTGCGTTTGTAAAAGGGGTAGTTCTTCATCGGATTTGTTGAATTTGCGGTAATAGTAAATTTGAAAAATCAATACAGTGTCCGTTACTGTGTAATAGACGCCAAGTATTATCTAGCAATAAATAAATTAATTGTATGATCGACATAAAACCTTCTTAATTAGTATAAATATTGAACACTTACTATATGTCTAAGCAAGTGTTGCAAGATTGCTCCTGTTAAATTTAACAAATCGCCGGCTACCCATATGTAGAGAAAAGTAAGTGATAAAGAATCACCAGACTTTCGCTTATAATTTATCCATATTTGTCTTTATAAAAAAAAAAAAAAAAAATCAATCATTTTCTAAACGAAAAATTCGTCCGTACTAGATTTTATTTCATTTATTTATAAAAACTTACGGAAATAAAACTATGAACCAACAAGCGATTGATATATAACCACAAATCTCAGAATAGGCGTCGTTATAGGCTTCGTTATCAAGTATTTTCATTTTTTAAAATTTCAAGTAGTATAGTGGTTTGAGTTTTTTTTTTTATGTTAGTTGTGATTTGGTCAAAAAAAAAAAATTAAAATATAAAAATAAGAAAAAAAAAATAAAGCGTATTTATATTTATTGAGACGGAGTACAGTTATCGATATATCGTTTTAAGTAAAGCAAACAAATAATTTTAATGTATTATAAAGCATATCGATTTTCTTTTAGCAGTAGTAATTTAATATCAAACATCGGATTAATCGGAATGAAAGGTATGAAGATAACTGGATTAATTTATCTAAAAGGGATTTATTATGACATGTGGCAGCAGCTTCATATTCAAAACCGGTTTTAATAAATGATATACTCCCGATAGATCCTAGTAAATCTGTCATTTACATAACAATTTCTAAATTAAGCGTATCATATATAGCACTAATTTTAGATCAAAATGATTAGCTTTCAATATAGATATCGAATTTTGCATATCACGTTATACCGAATCGAGTTAATAAAATTTAATAATTAAACCATTTTATTTTTTAAAACATTTTCTTCATTTTTTATTTTTTTATTTTTTAGATTAATCCTTTATATTTATTCCAGTTATTCTTACTTCTTAATACTATTATTGTAAATAGTAAAATAAAATAAAAGTATATACCGGGGGAGGACAAAAGTGATTGCACGGTCAAGAATAAATATTGAGTAAATTTTTCATTTTTAATTATGCCAAGTTTTTTAGTAACATTTCGGTCATCTATTGCATAAATGAAATATTTTATTAATTGATTATTTAATATGTTGCAATTTGTAAAGTCAAATTTGATAAAATCTCTAATTTTTAGTTTTGCGCATTATATTTTCGTTAAAAAGCTAAAAGCGGCCTTAATTAAAACAAGTAAATTAGTCCAGCAACTCGGAAGTCAGAAATTATATAGATGTTATTATATAACCATTATGTGGTTATTTGCAGTTTATTAATTAGTAGAAATAAGCGAAATGCTAACAAGTTGATCCTTTAGCGAGAACTTATTACGTGCGAAGAATTGAAAGTAGGGAGTTTTTTAAAATTAGATTTTACACCTTGCATTACTTAATCAAACAATGAATAAAATGTTCAAAAAGCAATAGATAGCCAATGTGTTATTAAAAATATAGCTCAGTTACTTATGAAAATTTACAAAATAATTTAATTCTTGACCGTGCAACATTTCTGCCCTCCCTCGATATCTATTTATTTCTTTACACTTAAGTTTCATATTCTTTTAACACTGTTCAGACTAGAAAAACTAATTTCTAATAATATTTAATTAAAGTCTAAGATCTTGCAACTGTCTATTTCATTATTTAATAATTGCTTATAATAATAATTTACTATAATATTTGAAATTTAACACGTTTTTAATACAATTAATAATATTTGATAAGTTTTATATTAATATATCAACTCTTTAATATACTTTTCAATTTTAATTTAATCTCATTAATATTTCTAATAAGATTAGTTATTGTCATATCTAAGGTATTTTTAAGATTTTTTTTTATCTATGAAATCCAGATTCTTGTTTTAAGACTAAAATGATATTTTAATATTTTTACTAGTTATATAATAAAGTTATAACTTATTAAGCTACAGCTATTTAATTACAGTATTATCTTTATTTAAGATATTTAATCTTATTTTTGAGTTCTGTAATTCAATTATTTAAATAAATCCAACCTTATTTCTGAATCTAATATTTTGGTAAATATTTTTTAAAATAATTTCATAATTCAAAATTTTTTGATTTAAGATTTTTTTTTTCTTTTTATAAGTAAAATAGTATTATCTTAAAATAAAGTAATTTAAATTCTTTTATAAAAAATGATTTTTTCTTATTACTTTTATTAAACTTTAATTAGTATTAATAATTCAAATATGTTAAATCAAATATAATATTTAATTTTCAACTTTAATTTATAGAATTATTATAAAATTATATATTAAATATAATTTATAATAAATTCTAAAAAAATTTATAATATTAAATCAAATTTTATTTTATTACTATCTTACTTTATTCATTACACTTAAATTAATATTATGATTTCTTAAAATCTTAAACAATTTATAGAAGTTTATTTCTAAATTTACTATAAATAATATTTAAATTTTTATATATTAATATAATTTACTATTTTTTTTTTTTATTATTAATTATTATAAAATAAAATCTTTTAATATTATAAATTTTATTTAAGGATTTTAATTTTACTTATATTAAAAAATATTTATGAAATTACAAATATTAATATAGTTAAAACTATTACAATCTATTATACTATTGAGTAATATTTTTAAATTTAAAATTAATAAAAATTTTTATTAAAAATTATTAATTATTTAAATAATTATTTAATATATTTTATTTAAATTTTAAATTATCAAATATAAATTATTATCTAAAAGCTATTATATTAGAAAAGATTAATTAAAAGATTAATAAAAATTGAATAATATTAAAAAAGTAATTATATTTATTATTTTGTAATATTATCCTTTATAATAAATTTTATAATATTTTCTAAGTAAAATTTAAAAAAAATGTAATTAATAGTGATACTTTAAGATAAATATATAATAAATTATTATAAAAAAAAAGTTAAATTTTTAAACTTATATATACTTATATATCTTATTATCTATTAATTTCAGAATTTAAAATATAATCATTTAATATGTTTTAATAAAATGAATCCAATAATCTAAATTTTATTTTGTAATTATTAAATAATAGATTATTTTAAAAAATTAAAAAATTAATATATATTAATAATTACTAATTTTAAAAATTTAAAAATACTATATTAGATACATTTTAATATAACAAATTTAATAAATTATATTTCATTTTTTTATGATTATTAAATATTAAATATTAAAAATTTTTTATGTATGATTATTAAAATATTATAATTTTTCTATAATATTTTATTATTAATTTTATACCTATCATTTAAACGATAAGATATTTAATAAAATTAGTAGTTTTTAAATATTAATAAAAATATTTAAAAATTATTTTAAAAACTTTATGCTATTTAATACTTCTTATTAAATTTTAAATAATACATTAAAATAGTTAAAATTAAATTATTATATTATAAGTAATATAACTTTTAAAATATAAAATTTTATTATATTTAATTTTAATTTAGCTTATTAATATCAAAGCAAATTATAATATTAATATTTTAGTTAAAATTATATAATTAATTTTATATAAAATATTATAATAAATGTAAATCTAATTATAATCAAAATATCGAAAATGAAAAAAATTTTATAATTGCAGAAATTATAAGATTTTAATAGAAATAAAAAGATAAATATATATATATAAATAAAATAAAAATATTTTTTTTATGTTTAAAATATAAATAATAATGAATTTAATTTATTTGATAATAAAAATTAAATATAAAATTTGAATAAAAAAATGGAGATTTTAATAAAAAAGAAAATTTATTTTAAATTTAATTAATAATATAAAAAATTTAAAATTATTTAAATATCTATTTACATATTATAAAAATTCTATTTAAATTTAAAAAAGAAAAAGTTATATATAAAGTTATTAAAAATAATAATTAAATATTAAATAATTTTTTATATCATTATAAGATCATTTATTAAATAATGAAATAATAGTAGATAATTTTAAAATTTATTTTAAACATTTTTAATATAGAATATAAAAAAAAAGAAACTAAAGGATAAAATAAAATTAGCAAAAGGAAATAATTAGCTAAGATAGTTTAGTTTAGAAAAAATACTTTATAATAGATTATTATATAATTAGTTCAATTTAATAAATTATTTTGTTAAACTAATTTAGAAAAACTAAAATGTAGAAATTATAGTATAATGTATTTAAATTAAGGATATGATATAATGATACAATAAATTTAAATTAGAAATACTAAAAAAAAAATTAAAAAGGAGATATAAAATAGTAAAAAAAATAAAAAACAGTAAAAAAAGTAGAAATAGCAGACATTATATAAAAAAAAAAGAAAATAATTAGATATAAATAAATGTAATTTTAAAATGAATAAAAAAGATCATCAATAATTTTAAAGAAAAGTTATCTTTAATTTTATAATTATATAATTAAATATTAAAGTTATGATATACTATAAATGTAAAATAATATAATCAAAAATACAATTTAAAATATGATAATTTATATTTTAAAGATTATTTTAATTAAAAACTTTTTAATTCTCAGTAAGTTTAATACCTTATTTTTTATATTTTTAAGAATAAAAATCTTAATTTAATAAAAATAAATAAAGAAAAAAAAGGAAAAAGTAATAATAAAGAAATAAAAGAAAAAGATAATAATGAAAAAAAATCATGAAAAAAAAGTAATAAAAGAGATGATAAATAAAATAATAATAAAAATTAAAATAAATTTAAAAATAATAAAAAAATAATATTAAACTAAAAAGTATAATTTAAAGTTATCTAAATTATAAAAATAGAATCATTATAAAATAGAATTAAGTAAAATTATTGCATAATTATTAATCATTATTAATTTATATTTAATCTATCAAACTTAAGATAATAATAACTTAATAATAAAAAGTAATATATAAGAATTATTAAGTTATTATAGAATAAGTCTTATTATAATCAATCTTAGATTTATAATAATTTAAACAAGAAAAATAATTTTAAAAAATATAAAAATAATAAATATAATAATATGTTGAAAGATTTTAATGTATATCATTAATAGAAAAAATTACAATTCTAAATATTATGTAGAATTTATTAATCAATAATGATCTCATAATAAATGATTTTTTAATTATATTAAATAGTAATTAACAATAATTTCTGTTTCACCTATTTCTTCTATTTATTCTATATTTTTTGTATAGCTTATTTATTCTATTTATTTTTTCATCTGTAATTTCTTCAAAGTCTATAATTTATTTTATTTTTTTTTATTATTTTTATA